CCTCGATCGTATGGTATAAGTGTAGTAACAGTGATATTTACCATTTTAGACTGTATAAAATAATAAGGTAAACAATAATTGTCTATACATACATACCGATATATTTATTTTATTAATAATAAGTTTAAGTTGAAAATCTAATATCGTCCAATATCTATTATTGTATTGTACATGAACCGCAGTTGTCTTAGTGAAAGTGAATTTACTTCTAATCGTCGACAAAAAAAATTGGATTTTCGAGGTTAATCACCGGATAATTAAGAAATCTGAAATCTAGTTTGAAATTGCAAACTACAAAACAATAATATTGCGGTTGCTATAAGAGAGTTACGTTTGCCGGGTTCCGTGGTATTGTCACTCTTTCTTGCGGTCCCTTCTTACGTTTTTAATACAATAATCATTATTGTTAAACGTTCGTCCTCCATCTTTCTTATTGTTCGACAAACAATAGCATCAAAAATTTTTTATTGTTTTGAAATGTTATTATCACCAGTACCGTATAATTAATTATAAGTAAACATAATTTAAGAAAGTCCTGATTTAATATTTTGATTTGAACTCATCTTGTTTGACGAATCTTGTCTTCTCAGTTTTGGTTGACATTGGCAACTAGTCATGGTTTATTTTCTTTTAATTACTAATAAAAATATGTTGTAAAAAGCAGGTCTCTTAAAATTTTATGAGTTGTTTGTTTGAGTGTAGTAATATGTATTTTTATATCTTATGTTAGAATCTCTAAACTGCTATCGGCTGCCTGTTGCCCTGCAACCTTTTCATATATATTGTGATTCCCTTCTGATCTCTAGATGACATTCTCAAATCTATCCTTATCAAAAAATCTAATAACATGGACTCTGAATCCTTTATACAGGGTAGTACAAATTCGAGGTACGAGCATTGGTATTTTGGAAACCATAATAGACCCGAAGAGGGTTAAATTGGGGCAGAGTTGTTCTGTGACAAAACTTTCAAGATTTGTCCGTTAACATGGTAGTGTGGCCTTTATATAATTATAATTAAAATAATTTACTGAGCGGTAGGCAGAACTTGGATAATGAGAACACCGACTTTTCAGAGCGTAAATATATATATCGTTTACACATAAAAAACAAAATATATCCAGCTAAAAATAGAAATTAAGATATCGCACTTTTATGGTAAGAGTTCTTTCTAAATTCAGTTAATATACAATTCTACTACCACTTACCACTTACCAATTACGTCAACATCCGTCAGTATTTCATCAACAACAAGAACCTGTCGAAGACTTCATTGATCCCCTTGTAGATCTGCCGCTTCGGTCTTGGACTTATTCTTTAGATTAAACCACTCGACCGGTTATCACAGTGTTCTTTTAGATAGTTTAATATTTTAGAGAAAAGGTGAGATTCAAAAATAAAATGCCGATTTTTCACAACACCTAACTATATTTAATATAAAGAAAATAAATAAATAAAAATAAAGAAAAAGTTTTAACAAGAAATTTATAATTAACGAAATATAAACAAAAGGAAAGAAATTTAATCAAAAATAATTAAAGAATGATATTAAAATTCAGAAGTGATAAAGTTAAAAATACAAAATATTCTTCTTATTAGTCTAATCTAAATTATCTAAAATTAGCATACAAATCAAATCTCTCTTAGAATTTTCGTTGCCAGAAAATTAATATGTCAAAAAAAAAATATTAACTGAACAATTGGATTTAAATTAGAATTTAATAAAAAGAACAATTGTAAAATAATCATTTGTGTGATGATATCTAACTTTTACTAAAGCCTTTAGAACAAACAGAAAGTCTTAAATCGTTAATAAAAAATATTAAAGAAAATCTAAAACAACAAATTAAAAATCTTTATACATGAAATGTTTAAAATTTCCTAACTTGAGAATTGAATATTTAAGAAAATCTTTAAATAGATAACTTACTAAAATTATTAAAAGGAAACCACTGGATAATATAAGATCTACACGGAGTAAATTCGACCGTCTAATTTAAGTCAGTATCGAACTGATCCAAAAAACTATATTCCTAAATCTCGAAATCTTTAAAATGGGCGGGTAAAAAGAATAGGGAACCACCAAAAGCCGAGCCATTCTCAAATCCTCTTCGGGTTCGCTTTTCAGGAACCGTCTGATTGGTCTGAGAAAACCTCAACTACCCTGTCGTTCCCGGTCTAGTTCGCCCTATTTGTCACAGATGTCGTTACTATGACCATTTCTACATTATTTCCAAATTATTACTAATATCCGTGTAAATATTATAATTACCGTAAACACAATTACACATGATTAAATCTAACCCTAACTAAAGTATATTTTAAGGTCTGTCCTTAAAAAAAACCAAACAAATCACATTTATAATTTGATTTCATTAGATTCCGCTGTTTTAACTTATATGTTTATTTATTTCACATACTTTTGGATATTTTGGATAAAAAAGGAGGACAGTCCTTAACTTTCAGAATATCATTACGTGAACTTTACTGTAATATTTAAATTAATAATTATACTTGTTTTTATCCAAAATCTCTTTGTATTAGCCCTTGGGAGGTCTATCGTGAGAAGAGTGTCGTCTTAGGAGTTTTATTGCTTTCTAGGGGTTTTGCTTATATAATCTCGAAGTTAAAATTTAGGGTTTTACAGCCTTAATGACTGATGCTAGTCGTTTCTAGCTGTTTCAAAGCAAGTATTATATTAATTTATGGACGTGGGATTTTACACCCAACAGAAAAATATTTAGTTTTTCCCAGAGAAACGGGTCCTTCATTCTAAACAGTTTTTACGATCTTCTGAAAAAAACCAATTTAAGGGCGGAAACACATGATACACTTTTAACAAGCTAGGTTTGTTGTCTGCTCTAAAATATTCCATTACAGTTCTTTGCGATGTTCACCAAGATGCCATAAAAATTTTCAAGGATTGCTAATTTTTTCTAAAAAAAAAACGTTACTTTTTAGAAAATCAAAAAACTAATAATTGTATATTCTCATTCTAAAAAAAAGTATCAAGTGTGGCATATCATTGTACTCAGGAGACTGAATGCAGGTCCGTATTTAAAAAAATTAAGTTGGCCTAAATCTCACAAGTTATCAGCTAATTTGAAAATCTAAAAATACTACCAGATAACCATAATAAAGTAGCTAGAATGTGCAATTAGTTTTTTGATTTTCTAAAAAGTAGCGACAGGAAAAAATAAAATTAGTTTTCAAAAAAATCCGTTTTTTCCAAAAAAATTTGCAATGCTTGAAATTTTTAAAACTTTTTTGATGGCATTTTGGTGAACATCTCAAGGAGCAACTTTGCCCCAATTTAACCGTCTTCGAATCTATTATGGTTTCCGAGATATTAATGCTCGTACCCCGCATTTGTAGCGCTCTGTACAGGGTGGGTCAAATTCGACGCTTTTAAATGGAAACACCCTTTTCTATAGGAGATAGACGAAAACTAATATCGGTGTCTTTAGCTCAATTTTCATCAAAAACATTATGGTGAAAACCGCACATCAATATCTGTTACCGTTTCGGAGTTACGGGGTGTTTTTCAAAAATGTGCATTTTTAACAAATCGCTGTAACTTTTTTACTATGGAAAATTTTTTATTTCTATGAAAACATTTCCAAAGCACCTTTTTACGTAGAATTTAATGGTTTAAGTACAATTTTTTTAAAATTAATAATTTAAGAGTTATCAACAGAAAAATTGATTTTTTATTTGGGACACCCTCTATATTTTTATTTAACTGAAAAGAATTTAAAATTACCTTTCCAAAAATATAGCACACTTGATATTTTGTTACAATCCCCTTCGAAATACAGAATTTTTAAAAGTTCGCCACTTTTAACTAGTAGGCTTTGGACCCCTTATTGATGATATGCCCTTAATGGAACTCGAAAACATATTTTTCCAGCGAGACGACGCACCGCCTCTGAACGCTGAAGTTATCAGCAAATTTTTGCAGCCAATGTGTTGATGTTGGTTAAATATATTTTAAATTGTAATAAAATTCTGCATCTCTCATAGCAAATATTATTTTCGTTTTAATTGATGCTCACAGCTAGAATTTTTTGCATTACGGCCGGTGTCGTTCAAAGCCTACTTATTTAAAAGCGGGCGAATTTTTATATACTCTATATCTCGAAGAGGAATCGAGCAAAATATCAAGTGTGTTATATTTTGGAAAGGTACTTTTAAATTCTTTTCAATAAATTAAAAATATACAGGGTGTCCCATATAAAAAATCAAATTTTCTGTTAATAATTCTTAAATTATTAATTTTAAAAAAAATTATACTTAAACCATTAAATTCTACGTAAAAAGGTGCTTTGGAAATGTTTTAATAAAAATACAAAATTTTCCATAGCAAAAAAGTTACAGCGATTTGTTAAAAATGCATATTTTTGAAAAACACCCCGTAACTCCTAAACGGTAACACATATCGATATGCGGTTTTCACCCTCATGTTTTTGACAAAAATTGAGCTCCAGACACCGATATTAGTTTTCGTCTATCTCCTATAGAAAAGGGTGTTTCCATTTAAAAGCGTCGAATTTGACCCACTCTGTACAGCTTTTTGTCAATGGCTTAATATCGCCTTATACAAAGAACCGCATATTTGCCAGGCTGATTATACCGGGTGGTCTATTTACTAATGGACCACCCGGTAGAACCAATATTAAAACATCGTATTCCAAACCAAATTCCATTATCGTCGTTGTTGAGCCAAAAAAGTAATTATAAAGTTATAATTTCTTTTTTAATTTCTCTTCCAGAAAAAAAATATTGATAAAGTTTTAAGTTTTTATATTCTTTATTTCTCTACGGAAACAAAATATTTTTAGGATATGCACCTTTATAAAACAATGAAAAAATTATATACCCTTAACACTTTTTTTGATATAATTTTTATCAACCACCACGATATTGGGCTTCCTCGCACTAATGGGATACCCTGTATGTACAAACTGAAAAATTGACTAATTTTTTTTATCTTATTTCCAGGTGCTTTGCCTGAAATAATCGGAAAGAACTGCCAGACTTGCGACAACAAGCAATTGGCAAACGCTAAGAGGATTGCCAGATTCGTCCAGACAAAATATCCAGACGTGTGGAACGCCCTAGTAGCGAAATATGCCCAGCCGAAAAATTAAAAAAATTTACTTATAAAATGAATACAATAATTATAATATGATTTTACTTTTTTATATTAAGAATTTGTAAATAAAATTAAAAATCGCCTTCACCATTTTGTCAAGATGTTTTATGTTAAGTTACTAATGTAATTCTGCATTTTTTATAAATTTTATAGAAATAAATGGTTATAACTATAATTTTAATAGTTATTAAAAATGTGTCAGCATAATTTCCAAACAATTTACTCATTTTTGTTTTATAATATTTATTTCAGTAAAAGTAAAAATGGTTTTTAAATGAGAGGCTGATAGCAAAAGTGGGTTAAAATTTTACTCTCGGCAAAAACGGTTTGCGTTTTTCAGAGGGCAAAAGCGGTTTAAGTAGCAATGAGAGCAAAAATGAGAGAAAGAAACTTTACCGTAAAAATGGGTTATAATTATATGCCACTTTTACTCTAAGATTAAAAATATTCCAATTTGTCCGAAGAAAAAATCGTTAATTTACTATTAGATAAAAAAATCTGTTTGCGTATTTGCCAGTCAGTTTATTCATGTTCCTCTAGTTTTCTATACAAAAATAACATTTGCACCATATGCAACAAGTAGTGTAAAAATCAACTTTTTATAAGCTTTTATTTAATTTGCTTTGTATGTATGTTTGTTCGGGGCAAATCTTGTAAGCTAAATTAGAACCACTTCCTTTGATTGTAGGAAAATACATTTTTTTACAAGGCATGACCAGAATTTTTGACAGCTGTTAAAATGGCGACCAAAATGGCGCCATTTTTGAGGTTTTTGATTTTTTAAAATTCTATTATAAAAAAATTTATTATAATATAGGTATATTGTGGGTATATACATATGAAAAAAAATATGTGGGCGGCTATCTTGAAAAAATGACAGTTTAATGACATGTCAAAATTTGTATGTATGTTTGTTCGGGGCAAATCTTGTAAGCTAAATTAGAACCACTTCCTTTGATTGTAGGAAAATAGATTTTTTTACAAGGCATGACCAGAATTTTTGACAGCTGTTAAAATGGCGGCCAAAATGGCGCCATTTTTGAGGTTTTTGATTTTTTAAAATTCTATTATAAAAAAATTTATTATAATATAGATATATTGTGGGTATATACATATGAAAAAAAATATGTGGGCGGCTATCTTGAAAAAATGACTAATAAAAATCGACATAATATATATATATATATATATATATATATATATATATATATATATATATATATATATATATATATATATATATATATATATATATATATATATATATATATATATTATATATATATATATATATATATATATATATATATATATATATATATATATATATATATATATATAGGATGGCCATGGGCTAAAATGAAAGAAGAAAAAAATTCAGCTGTCAGAATTGACAGCTGTCCAAAAAAATTTCAAAGTTGTCCGATTTTGATAAAAATCGATATATTGGATGCCCCCTACCCCATAGTCGGTTTTCGTTTTATTTGTCTCACATTTGAACTGTCAAATTTGACAGCTGTCGTTTTTTTTTTAAGTTCTCCTTTGTTAATGAAAATCGATATACATATTATTAGGATGCCCATAGAAAGTTATTTAAGAAAAACCAGCATAACTAAAAAGTAAAAAATAAATTTTAAGAAAAAGAACTTTTTTAAAAACAAGCTTTTATTTAAATACACAAAAAAGAAAAAAAAAACTTTTCTTTAAAATTTTTATTATGAACTTTATAACGTCATTACATAATTTTAATATTATATTAAATCTTGTCGCGAGATTTGAGTGTACAGTTGCACTCATAAAAATCTGGTACGACAACTTTACTTTAAGTATATACAATATACATGACAATCTAAAACCTGTGTCTACCCTGTCTCATTTTGAAAGTTTGTCTTATGATACATCACTAGAAAAGGAATTACAAGATAAAGTTGTCGTACAACTGTACACTCAAATCTCGCTACAAGCTTTTATATAATATAAAATTATGTAATGACGTTATAAAAGTTCATAATAAAAATTTTAAAGAATTTTTTTTTCTTTTTAGTGTATTTAAATTGCTAAGGGCATAAAATCAGTTCTATGAATTGATTTTTACAACGTTGTAGCTGGGGGGGGGGGGGGTAAGGGTGGGGGGGGGGCGTTGTGACTCCGCCCCATAAAAAGTATAAAAATATTATATATGCATGTTTTCACGAGTTATTGCAAAAAATTAGTTCGGTATGAATATTTTCTAACTTTTATTGACATAATATGTTTAATATAGTCCAAGAAAATAGGCCTTCAAATACGAAGTTTTGGGAAAAACTTGAATTTTTGATATAAGTTACTTTGGAAGATCTAAAAACGAATTGTGAAAGATTTTTTTAAATTCACACCAGAGAATGGGTGAAAATTATTAAATAAAATTATTTCTTCGTAATTTTGGAGAAACGGTAAGGACTAGAAAAAAATTTTCAAATAAAAGTTGTAGAGCGTTCAATTTTACATAAAATGGTCTTTATACTTTTTTGCTCAAATCAAAATTAACCTAGATAGGGTGGCTAGAAGCTAGGAGACAACTTTTATTGAAACATTTTTTTTCAATGTCCTTACCATTTCTCTGAAATTTAAAAAAAAAACACTTTTTGTATATTTTTACACTCTTTCTCAGGGTAAATTTCAAAAATCTTATTAGAAATTTATATTTTCCAAACAAATTGAATGAAAATGTTAAATATATGAAATTTTCAGCAATTTGTGTTTTTTTTAAATTTTACTATCATCCCCTAGCTTCTAGCCATCGTATCTCGGTTAATTTTGATCTGAGCAAAAAAAGTATAGAAATCATTTCTATGTAAAATTAGAACAACACAACTTTTATTTGATTCCTTTTTTAATCTTTCTATAATTAGTGGTAATTTTTGACAAGTTTTATGTCAATTTTACTAAGTGGCATCTAGAGAGTGACCTCGCGAAAATTATCATCGATTGTCACTCCCCAACCGTCTTCGAATCCATTCTCCATCATACATTATTTATATTACTTTGACAGTTTGATTCTGATTTATTTCGCATTAGTTATACAGGGTGAATTTGTTTTAAATATACATATGTGCACGTATTTTTATGATTGGTATATTTCGATCCCAAGAACATGTCACAAGAGTTATTTCGGCGATTTTATTTTAAATGTTATATTTTAAAAATTTTCACATATATTTTTTTAATTTTTAGTTAAAAACATAATATCTTAATAATATGGCAACATAGGTAATTAGGCAACATAGGCAAAAACACAGGAAAGATCCAGTGGTTCTCGACATTTAAGGAAACATTTTTTTTTAAATATCAAAAAAATAACTTGGCTATTTTGAAAAATAATGATTATAATTAAAATAATTTATTGAGCGGTAGGCAGAACTTGGATAATGAGAACACCGACTTTTCAGAGCGTAAATATAGTTTATCTTTTACATATAAAAACAAAATATAACCAGCTAAAAATCGAAATTAAGGCATCGCACCTTTATGGCAAGGGCTCATTCTAAATTCAGTTACTATAAACTCTATTGCCACTTACCTTATTACGTCAACATCTGTCAGCAATACATCAACAACAAGAACCTGTCGAAGATTTCATTGATCCCCTTGTAGATTTATCTCTTCGGTCTTGGACTCATACTTTTGATTGAACCACTCGACCGGTTATCACAGTGTTCTTTTAAATAACTTAATATTTTAGTGATTAGGTGAAATAAAGAAATAAAATGCCGATTTTTCACAACACCTAACTATATTTAAAATAAAGAAATAAAGAAATAAAAAATAAAGAAAAAGATTTAACAACAAAACATTTGTAATTAATGAAAAAGAAAGAAATTGAATCAAAAATAATTAATGACAATTAGAGAATTGAAATTAACACTCAGAGATAATAAAGTTAAAAAAAATACAAAATATTCTTCTTATTAGTCCAATTTAAATTATCTACAATTAGCATACACTTTCAAATCTCTTTTAGAATTATCGTTGACAGAAAATTAATATATTAAAAAAATATTCACTGAACAATTAAATTTAAATTAGAATTTAATAAAAGGAACAATTGCAAAATAATCACTTATGCAATGACATCTAAAATTTACTAAAGCCTTTAGAACAAACAGAAAGTCTTAAATCATTAAGAAAGAAAAATATTAGAGAAAATCCAAAAACAACAATTAAAATACTGTAAGCATGAATAGTTTAGAATTTCCTAACTTGAGAATTTATTTGAGAAAATCTTTAGATAGGGAACTTACTAAAACAATTAAAAAGACCACTGGATAATATAAGATCTACACGGAGTAAATTCGACCGTCTAATTTAAAAGTCAGTACCGAACTAATTTTGAAAATGAAAATACTGATGCTGGTACTATCTCGGAAAGGCGTTACTACATCTTCGGCAAGCCCTTGTTTGACGAACCTTCGAATACCCATCCAAATGCATATTTCGCACCTTTTTAATTGGCCGAAGGGTTCCTTCTCCGAAAGATCCCTAGACTTCTTTCACCCTTGTTTCTGGTCCTTATCCCGAGAGGGCATCAGCATGTCCTATTTATTAATTAAATGTAATTTTTAAACCCTTCCGTGTAAATCTTACTCTTTTACCAATTTGCTGAAAAACATTCATAATCTCCCTTAACTAATACAAATGATATCGTGACATAGGATTACCTTAAAAAAACCGCCTAGAAATGAAATCTTTATTTCTTCATTCATTTGTCTATTTCTATTTAACTCTAGGAACGGAAAAAAAGATAATCCTATTTCAATCATTTTCACACATTCATCTCGTGAACATTTGGATTCTGATTTTAAAACATATATTTAATACTTTTAATTTTCAATTTAAAACCTCTAGCGAGGGGATGATTTAATTTTACTTATTTCGTTAAGCATGCCTACGTGCTTTTTCTGCGTTGTTTATTTTGAGATATCCCTAGGGTACACACAACTGGTACCACTCTGTCAAATAGATTTTTGATAATAAGGGATGAATGTTTGTTCTACTTTACCCTCGTTTATGTGACTTTAAATTATTTAGAAGATTGTATTATTTAGCTTTGCTTAGTTTCTCAGGATATACGCGTACTTTTAGAGTTTATGTGTCTTGAATATCATTAGATTATTTGCTTAGGCCTTTTAAAATTCGTTTGCCTATGTCAACTGATAACTTCGTAAACTGAAATGGTCCCATCTTAGAATAACAAACCAAAAGATAAAATTTTACCAAGCTTGATATTATTCTATTACATTCGGAAATAGTCTAGAACGAAATCACAAGATTAAACGAACTTACCTGAAGTGAAGTTCAATCTTGATTATATGAAGGTCTCGTCGAAATAAATAAGTACAATGTAGTTCCCTTTTCTCCGTGCGGCGACCACACATTTTAAAGCCTAAACAAACAAATTTCAACATG